CGACAACGCTAACAAAACCGGGCGTCACGAGAGACGTACCGTCAGTTGGCAACAGCCCGTTCGCTTTAACAGTTCGACGTGCGAGAGAATCTTGAAAAATGACTGGACGCGGTAAAGGTGGTAAAGGATTGGGAAAAGGAGGAGCGAAAAGGCATCGTAAAGTTTTGAGGGATAACATCCAGGGAATTACGAAACCGGCCATAAGAAGATTGGCGCGACGTGGAGGAGTAAAACGTATATCCGGATTGATTTACGAAGAAACTCGAGGAGTGCTCAAAGTCTTTTTTAGAGAACGTAATCAGGGATGCAGTCACTTACACCGAGCACGCTAAAAGGAAGACAGTCACTGCAATGGACGTCGTATATGCATTAAAGAGACAAGGACGCACTTTGTACGGATTCGGTGGTTAAACACTCCGCAGCAATTACCACGGTACAGGTTGAACGAAAATACAATACAAAGAAAAAAAAAAAAACGGTTCTTTTCAGAACCACCAATACTCTCTCGTGAGAAAGAATGGATCTGCCGATTGAACCGCCACATTAATTTTCTATTTTTTTTTATACAAAATAAAAAGAAACACTCACATAAATGAGTTTATCGGAATATGAGAAATTGATCGACTTATACGTTTTGGCTCTTTGAATTACAATAATCGACGATTTCGGTCCCGATATGTCCCATCGAGATACCGGCGAATATTAGACGTGAATGCGACGATGAGATGCCTCGATTAAATAATTTAGTTATTGCCAACTTCTCGCGCCACAACCGATCCGATATCACCCTGAGAAAATTTTTCCATATACAAATGATAATCCCTTCATTTTCTTATTAAATTACTTGTTGGCCCTGAGAAGGGCCGATTGTATGTTCAGAAGATTTTTTTTTTAGGCTTTCTTCTCCGTCTTTTTCGGCAAAAGAACAGCTTGGATATTAGGGAGAACTCCTCCTTGGGCAATTGTGACGCCTGAAAGCAATTTGTTCAATTCTTCGTCGTTTCTGATGGCCAATTGCAGATGACGTGGAATAATACGGGTCTTTTTATTGTCGCGAGCAGCGTTGCCTGCCAATTCCAAAACTCTGCGGCCAAGTATTCCATAACGGCCGCTAGATATACGGGAGCTCCGGCACCGACGCGTTCAGCATAATTCCCTTTTCGCAATAACCTGTGGATACGACCGACGGGAAATTGTAGGCCGGCCCTGCTGGATCGGGACTTTGCCTTTCCCTTAACTTTACCGCCTTTTCCGCGTCCTGACATATTCAATTTGTTAATCTGCTAAACGAACGACGTCGACTATGAACTTGCAAATGCACAACATGATCTCCGCGAACGTTGTATTTATATGAACTAACCGACCAATCGACGCGAACGTTTGCCGGCAAACGCCTGGGGGCGGAGTCTACGGTCGTAACGTCACCTGTCTTAAATACGGCCAGAGAATTGCAGTCGTTCCGTTAGTCGAGCGTTGGTGTCGATTATACTCAGCATCATCTCACAATAAAATGCCACCCAAAACTAGCGGTAAGGCTGCCAAAAAAAGCGGGCAAGGCGCAGAAGAATATCTCAAAATCTGACAAGAAAAAGAAGCGCAGGAGGAAGGAAAGTTACGCAATTTACATCTACAAAGTACTGAAGCAGGTACATCCGATACGGGTATCCAGCAAAGCGATGAGCATCATGAACAGCTTCGTCAACGATATTTTCGAACGTATCGCTGCGGAAGCTTCCAGATTGGCACATTACAACAAACGTGCCACGATAACTAGCAGAGAAATTCAGACAGCCGTACGACTATTGCTACCGGGAGAATTGGCCAAGCACGCAGTCAGCGAAGGTACCAAAGCCGTCACCAAGTACACCAGTTCAAAATAATATAGACGTTGTATTCGCTTCGACGGTTATACGGTTCGAAAAATAAGAACAAAAAAAAAACGGTTCTTTTCAGAACCACTATGTTATGATAAATGCAAAATGATAATTAGCTGTGGTCGTTATTTTAATCTTTTCATCTATCTCTCTCTCTCTCTCTCTCTCTCCTCTCTCTCTCTCTCTCTCTCTCTATATATATTATTATATATATATATATATATTATGTATAGAAGAAGTCCGTAATATCTGGAAGATGTCACCTGTATCACTGCACTGGGAAACAGTACCGTGATCGTAGGTGATCTAAACGCGAAGTCCACCATTTGGGGCTCAAGAAACAGAAACAGTCACGGCGCTGTCTGGAAAGACTAATGGATGAACCTGGATATACCATGATAGGTCCGGACGAACCTACAATATACCCCAGCAACGGAGTAGACCAGACGTCATAGATATGGCGATTCTGAAGGAAATCGACATGCGCACCACCATCGGCGCCATGCAAGAGGGAAGCTCAGACCACAACCCCATCTTTCTCTGTACGGGAGATGGGATAACACCTGTGGAACAAAGAACAGTGAAGAGGTGAATTGGCAGCGGTTTAGAACCAGACTGCACTATTCACAAGGACCACTACTACAGATCGAAAGCCCCGAAAGCATAGAAGAAGCGGTCACGGACCTAGAAAGGAAGATTAAGGCTGCGTTAGAAGCCGCAACCACCGTGGAAGACATAACGCAACCAAACAGGTTCAGGGACCTACCTGACGAGGTAAATCGCAAGATCACCGAAAGAAACAGAGCCCGAAGAGTAGCCCAGGAGACCAGAAGCCCCACTGACATCATGGTGGCAAACAGACTTATGAGACAGGCACGAGACGCCTTGAAGCAGCACCATCAGAGCACCTGGGATAAGAAACTCGACGAACTATCTCCAGCTGACCCAGGAATGTGGAACTTGGCTAAAATCCTCAGAAATAGAAGACAGCCCATCCCCCCAATACACAGCGAACAGGGGATGGTGTACACAACCGAAGAGAAGGCGGAAGCTTTGCTGACAACCTTCAGAGACAGTGTACTCTCAATACTCACCCCGATGAAGACGAAGACTTCATCGACGAGGTGATGAGAAGATCGAGGAGAGCTGTCAGAGGAGGAAGAGCCATCGAAGACATGCCCTCTCCAGGCGAGGTAAGGGAAATCATCGAAAGACTCAAGGTGAAGAAGGCACCGGGTGTAGACGATATTGGGAACAGAGTCCTGAAGAGACTCCCGAGGAAAGCGATAATGGCAATTACCAACATCGTCAACGCCATACTGAGACACCGGTACTTTCCAGATCACTGGAAAGTAGCCGAGGTGATCAACATTCCTAAACCTGGGAAAGACCCAAGGTTCCCCCAAAACTACAGACCCATAAGCCTGTTGACGGCACTGAGCAAGATTGCGGAAAGGGTAATCGAACGAAGACTGAAGAACGAAACCGAAGAACTCCGAGTAGTTCCAGACGAACAGTTCGGATTCCGATGCGGGCATTCAGCAGAGCACCAGGTCCTAAGGCTGGTCGAGATGGCAACGAAATCGTTCCAGACTCGGCGGGCCGTGGGAGCTGTGTTCATGGATGCCGCAAAGGCGTTCGACACTGTTTGGCATGACGGACTGATCTACAAGATGGTAGACCACGGATACTCAAAGGGGATGATCCAACTGGTGAAGTCCTACTTGAAGCACCGAAATTTCCGAATTAGGATCGGTAAAACAACCTCGACGACGAGACTGTGGAGGCAGGAGTACCGCAGGGAGCGGTTCTACCACCCCTGCTGTATCCAATCTACAGCTCAGACATCCCGAAGACTCCTCAAACGCAACTGTATGTGTATGCGGACGATACAGCATAGCGGCAGAAAGTACGAGACCCCGCATGGTTACGGAATATCTGCAACGAGCGACCACCAACCTAGAGGAATGGTGCATCAAGTGGAAGATCCGCCTCAACCCCGAGAAGACCGAAGCGGTACTGTTCCGAAGAAATCGAAGATTACCTCAGACCAAAATAAAGATGACGACCACCAGAATGGAGAGAGGCTGGAGAAGAGATGAAGAGGTTGAGGTCGACTGGAAAGACTCCAGCACATACCTTGGAGTCAAGATGGACCAGAAACTCACTTGGAAGAACCATGTCGAAGACCGGGTGCAGAAGTGAAGATGGCACGCTCCAAACTAAGACCCTTAACGGCAGAAGAAGCAAAGTGTCACTAAAGAATAAGACCATCATGATTCAGATGGTGCTGCTACAAATCATGACTTACGCAGCAGTAGCTTGGGGCTACGTTTCCAAAACGATGAAGAAGAGGCTCCAAGCTCAACAAAACATGGCACTCCGTGAAGCGGTGGACGCCCGTGGTATGTACCTAACAGTGCTATATGACGAACTACGACAGGTACCGGTCGTAATCCAGATGAGAGAGAGGGCCAGAAAGTTCTTGAAAAGAAATGTGCTGATTGAAGCCGGCCTTGATTTACGACCCAAGAACAATAAGGCGTCATAAAAGACCGAAAAAGCTGCAACAAGAAGATATTTGGCCCTAGCAGCTGATCAGGCCAAAGAAAAGGGGAGAAGACCGACAATAGTTGTACACCCAAGAGGGGAAAGAACAGCCGTGTACAACGGGTGGACAAAAAGAAGCCGTCGATTGAGGTGGCCAGAGTCAAGCACGGACTCGGGGCTAACCTCAGGAGACGAATGACTTACAAATATGACTGACTGACGACGACTGACTGACTCCAGTCGACGAGGAAAGAGCGAAGGCTCACCAACCTTTAGGAGGGGCTTAGGTCGAAAGCCCCAGCGCAGGACCCCCAAGAAAAGAGGCCGGCCATAAAGTCGAGAACCGACAGTTGGAAGAAACGTCCACCACGCGCTTCCGCGACGCGTGCGCGATCGAGTCAAATTTCGGGAAAAAGGGGCAAAATTGGGGAAGGGGGGATAGCTCGTTCGGCAGCACACTCGGGGAATGCGCAAGCGGCCTGAACCACGCAGCGCCACTCCAGGCCTTTGGGCGGGAGTGGGGGAGGAGCTGATGCTCTCCCCCCACTCCTCAAGGGTTTGAGGTTGCCTGGAACAGGGGTGGTGGAGGGACCGCACAGGGTAGGAGGTGTGTGTGTGGTGTGTGGTGAAGACCGTAGCAGAAGAAGAAGAAGAAGACGAAGACCGTTTTAAAATACAAAATTAAGTAACACAATTTTTTTTATACATTTAGCCCATAAGTAACAGCAGACCGAATATATTGCCAACGGAAAATCCTTTTATTTTGGTATTCTGAGTTTAATTGATGTTAACTGCCCAAATTGATTACTTATCGTTTATTCCTTTCCCCGCGGATCGGTGTATGGTACTTGTTCTAACAGTTAATAGTATTAACGGAGTGTCATTGTTTTTATTGTTCAACAGCGAAATCAGTCAACATAAGGGTATCCACGATTTCCGAAGGTTAATACAGGGTGTCCGCAAAGTTGGGCTTTTCCTTTTCAGAAACAACTACCCTTGAAATAACAAAGGTAATGCGTAGTGAAACGAGGGCCGACCATGTAAAAAAAAATATAAAGGAAAAAGTACTCACTCTCCAGTTGACCCCATTACGTGTGAACGTAGATTCGTCTGTCACCAATATGCACTTCAAAAAGTCCGGATTATTGTCATGTTGATGCAACAACCACTCACAAAACCGCACTCTTGCTGGAAAATCGTCAGGTTGGACGTTTGCCACACTCTAGTTTGTGGATACTCGCACTTCTCTAGCCACGTCTCTAGTGCTTGTTGAGGGATTCTCGTCTACGCGATTCAGTAGTTCTTCCTCAACTAGCACATTCGTGGTGTCTAGACCTCCCACTGTGCCCACCTCGATATTCCTCCAAATGGCCCGTATCCCTGACTCTCTGGACCGGGTACACAAATCTGCGGGGCCTTGGATGATGTCGTCTAGGGAAAAGATCTGCATACACTCGCGACGATTCTGTATCATTTTGAAGACGTTCATTAATAAATTAACAACATATCAACGAGTTCATTATTGGTATATGAGTGTGCCATTATTATTATATTTATTATACCTCTATACGCGTGACCCTTTACCGTCGGTTGAAGGTTGCATACTGACCTGACACTCGGACCCCCACCCCCGACCCAGTTCTGTCGTCGGGTTCAGCGTAGCCGGTACCTGTCTGGGGCATCGCGGCGGGTGGCGGCTACAGGACGGTATTCAGATATTTTTGATGTTGCAGAGCCCTTTATCTCGTTCCCTTAAGATATTGGTGTATATGGCACTAAGAAAAATTGCTTATGTTTTCAAGATCTACACGTCGTGTAAAGGATAACCCCAACTTTGCGGACACCCTGTAAATAGAATTAGAACCGTTCGATGTATATATTCTTTCAAATTACAGTTTTTCGATAACACAGCATAGCATGTCCATATAGTATAATAATATATATATCTATATATATATATAGATATAGATATATATATATATAATATAGAATATATCATATATATATATATATAGATATATGTATATAACGTACTAACATAGAATCACATGTTTATGTAGTGTATATAACATATATATATATATATATCATATATATATATATATATTATAGGTATATATACACGACATAAACATAGAATCACGGAAACGAAATGTAGTACATCGTTATTCGAATATTCGTACATTTTCGAAGTTCGCTCAAGTATATACTTTCGAGACTACAACTGGAATATTAGTCGAAATATTAAAGATCTACACACTTTCCAATATGACGTTGAATCACTGACCGGACGTACAGCGATATCGGATTGTTCGCCTGCGATAATAGTATGGCCGCTATTAATGGGAAATGTATTTAAAAAAAACTTCTACACAATTTCCGATATGACATAGTGTTCCAGTCACTGTTGGTTGTCAGAGCGCTACGTGGCACATTTGCTCTAGAGTCACAGTGTC